GAGATAGGACAAGATATCTTGATAACCAAGAATGTTTTTCTTATTGTTCGACGGTTTCTATTATATAGAAGTCCAATATTAATAACATTTTACTATTATATGAAGAGCATAATTAAAGTACTAAGTTTCGGGCTTGGTCAAAATATCTTGATAAACAAAAACGTTCGTACCTATGGCTTCTTAATGATATAGAAGTCCGATGTTAATAGGAGGAGCTTAGTAAAACTAAAAAATGCCGAGTTGGGTGAAGATCTTAATATAACCAAATATGTTTTTTTATTCAAAGGATTAATTTTCGACCGTCAGTTCCTCTGGTAGCTATTTCAAATAGTGGTCCTATCTTAATAGGATTTTGTATATATAAGAAGAGCATAGTAAAATTAATAAATTCCGCATTAGGTCAAGATATCTTGACAAACAAATATACTTTTTTATTTAACAGATTAATTTTCGACCGTCAGTTCCTCTGGTAGCTACTTCAAATAGACGACCGATCTTAATAGGATTTTGTATTTACATATATGAGGAGTATAGTTAAACAAATAAATGCGGTGTATGGTTAAGATATCATGAAAAACAATCAAATATAACATACAACAATTTAACTTTCGACCGATCGATCCAATGGAAGCTTTATGATATAGTGTTCCGATCTAAATAGGATTTTACATAAATATGAAGTGAATAATTAAACTAATAAATGCCGAGGTTGGTCAAGATATCTTGGTAAACAAAAATGTTTTATACAACAACTTAATTTCGTGCGATCGTTCTTATGGCAGCTATTTCAAATAGTGGTCCGATGTAATGGTCTTTTGTAAATATATGAAGAACATAGTTAAACTAAAAATTGACGACTATGGTCAAGATATCGTGAAAAACATTTCAATTTTCCATACAACCATTTAACTTTCGACAGATCAATCCTATGGATGCTTTATGATACAGTGCTCCGATCTTAATAGGGTCTTAAATTTATATGAAGAGCATAATTAAACTACTAAACGCCGGGTTTGGTCAAGATATCTTGTTAAACAAAAATGTTGTTTTATTAATCGATCGTTTCTATGGCATCTTAAAGATATAGAAGACCGATGTTAATAGGATTTTGTATTTATATGAGGAGCTTAGTAAAACTAATAAATGACGAGTATGATCAAGATATCGTGAAAAACAATTAAATATAACATACAACAATTTAACTTTCGACCGATCGATCCTATGGAAGCTTTATGTTATAAAGCTAAATTGGATTTTATATAAATATGGTGCATTGTCGCGTGCCAAATGAAGGTGGAGTTGCAATTTGAACACTGCAAGTTTACGCCTGGCCCCCGGCCATGTTACTCCGATGTTACTAGAGACAGCGTAATGCAAAACGTGCTAGTGCAAGTGTTTTATTCTAAACGGATTACATAGGTTAGAACTTAGATATATATTCCCTCGGAATCTTACCGCAGTCTTTCCTCCTACGGCCTTCGAACTCACGACAATAAAGAGCTTAACATTTAAGTAATGGCGGCAACAAGCCAAATACAGTGTGCCCGTACATTCGGAGGGCAAATATACATACTTTCAGAATATACTTAATACTAAACAATCGATAAATTAATTCGTCCCGCAACATCCCCGCCCCCGTGAAGGCCCTGCTTCACTCACATCCAGTATGGCTAGTTTAGCCACGGGACGAGTCATCAGTCGCACTCGGTTGTTGTCCGCCACGCGGATGCTGGCGCGTCGAGGCACTCCATCTGGTCCAGGGTAGAGCTCCTCCACTATGCCCTTTCGCCACTCTCTGCGTGGCACGGCCGGGTCGCATATAAACACCATATTCACGCGTCGCACAAGTGTAGGCAGGTACTCTAAGACCCACCGCTTCCAAAAACGGTCTCGTAACAGCCGCGCCATGCGCTACTGCTTCCTCGTGACGCATCTCTCGTTCGGCTGCCCGTGGATACCGGGCGTGTCAGGCAGATTGGCCACTCCTTTGAGTAGATCGTTCGGTGTTAGGGGGGCTTCTTGGTCCACAGACACCGGCAAGTGGGTAAGCGGGCGAGAATTCACAACGTTCTCGGCCTCAATCAGGAAACTCTCCAGTACGTGTTGCTTTGGTGCCACTTCCTTTACTGTGTGGCGTAGCACTCTCTTGACACACTGCACCATCCTTTCCCAGGCTCCCCCTTCAGCTGGGTTTGCTGGGCAGTTGAAGATCCATTTAATGCCTCTAGAAGATAACTCACCCTGAATCTTCTCCGGCTCGAATACATCTATTAGCCTTTTGGCTTCTCTGTTGGCCCCAACAAAGTTCTTTCCGTTGTCACTGCGCAACCTCAGTACAGGTCCGCGACGGCAAAGAAAGTTCCTGATTACGATTATACAGGAATCAGTTGACAGGTCATGTGCCAGCTCCAAATGTATGGCCCTTGTCGTCAGACACGTAAACAAGGCGACCCATCTCTTTTCCTTTCGACGTCCGATCGTCACAAGGAGTGGTCCAAAATAGTCCAGACCCGTAAACTTAAATGGCCATCCATTGGCCTCCAGTCTGTCCTCTGGCAAAGGACCCATTATAGGTGGCGCTGGCTGCGCTCTATGTAGTTTGCACACACTACATCCAGATATTACTGTACGCAACAGTCGACGCAGCTTTGTTATCCAAAATCTGGTCCTGATGTCACCTATCGTTGCATCCACGTTTTGATGCTTCATTTTCACATGGTAGTGATACACAATCAGTTCCGTCAGTGTGTGCCGGTGTGACAATATTATTGGCCTTCTCGCACTATGCGGTATACAGAGGGCGGCATCGATCCTGCCATACGCACGCAAGACTCCATTGTCATCCAAGTATGGCGCCAGCCCTCTTATGTCGCTTCGATGACCGACTGATTCTTCATTGTATGAGGCTCGAACCTCGTCAGGGAACGCTTCGCATTGCGCTCGCCGTATCAGTAAGTTCTCAGCGTTCTCACACTCCGTCGCGGTGAGGCCGAATCTCTCAAGCTCAGTCCTCTGTCCACGGCTCCAGCGCGTAAACCTTAAAACCCAAGCCGTCGTCCTCACCAGCCGACTGTAGCTAGAGAATCTCTGAAATGAAATGAAAAAGCTATTTGCTGCAACTAAGGCAAATTCACTCGGCATCTCTTCTTCATCTTCGTAGGATGAGTGTTCCGTGCCCGGTTCGGACTGCGGCCAGCTGCTTTCTGGCTGCCGCAAAAATGTTGGCCCGTCTAACCATCGTGACCGTTGGCTGAGGTCTACGTGGCAATGCGGCCTCGTTGCGTCGTCTGCTGCATTTTCAGCAGTAGGTACCCATCTCCATTGGGAAACCTTTGTTGACTCCAAAATTTCTCCCACTCGATTTCCGACGAACTGCTTATATCGACGGTGGGTGCTGCCTATCCAACGCAGCACAGTTTTGGAGTCAGTCCATAGTATAGCGTCGCTGATCGCTATACTGTGCTCCTTTTTGACAGTATCCATCAGCCTCGTTCCTAACACGGCTGCTTGCAATTCCAGTCGTGGAATTGACATCGTCTTCATTGGGGCACACTTCGTCCTGGCACATACGAAGCATACTCGCACGTCGTTGTTGTCGTAGGTGACCCTCAAGTAAGTCACGGCTGCGAATGCTGACTGGCTAGCATCGACAAAAACGTGCAGCTGTATTGCCCGCACAGGTGTTGGGCCGAAGTAATGGCGCGAGCTCCGAAATCCTTCCACGTTGTTCATATCCTGAAACCATTTGCTAAAGGCCCGGGCGATCTCATCTGGTAATGGTTCATCCCATTGCACATTTCGTCGCCAAATCTCACGCATTAGTAACTTTCCAGTTATCATGAGGCAGCTAAGAAATCCCAGAGGATCGAATGTTGACATGATCAAGCTCAAGAATTCCCTCTTCGTAGGAATTCGCTCCAAATTTAGCACACATCGGCGTACTTTGTGGTACTTCATGTTGAATTTGAAATCGTCCGTGGCTGGTTGCCAACACATGCCTAGAATCTTTTCTTCAGCTTCGCCCCATCCGATGCTCCTCGCAGTCCCATGTTGGCCCAGCGCGTCAGCTACAGTTGGCGAGCTGGAAGTAAACTGGCACAATTCGAATCCAGCATTTGCATGTATTTCTCTTATTCTTGTCGATATGGTGATGGCTTCGCCTTCACTATCAAAACTATCCACATAGTCGTCCACATAGTGGAATTCAAGAATAGCTTTAACCGCGCGAGGGTCTGAATCCTGAAACTGCAGGGCATTCAAGGTCTTCACATAGTGTGCGGCGCTTGGCGAACATGCTGCTCCAAACGTCATTACCCTCATCTCATAAACATCAGGCTCCCGGCGATCATCGCCGTTTCGCCACAGGAATCGCTGGGCGCATCTGTCCTGCGGTCGAATCAACACTTGATGGAACATCTCTCGGATGTCTCCACAAACGCCAACGGCACCTTCCCGAAAATGGAAGAGAACAGCCGGCAGCGACTTATAGTGCTGCGGCCCCTTGGATAATGCCGAATTCAATGAAATATCACCAACCTTTGCTGCCGCGTCGAATCAGTCTTATCTTACCGGGCTTATTTGGATTTTCAACTCCAAAGTGCGGAAGATACCAAAGTTTGTCGCTGTTGGCTAAAGCGACCTCATGCTGCTTCAATCGTCGAGCATATCCTTTGTGAACATAATCGTCCATAATTTTCATATAGGCTTGTTTAAACTGATCGTTACGCTTCATCTTTCTCTCAATGTTGACCAATCTTTTTGGTGGCGTAAGCTTCACCCCGAAGTTTTCGATATCAAAATAGTCGTTTACCATCTTTTGGATTGCATCCTCCTGCGACACTGCTAGGAGGCATGACTTTGATGACGTTGCCGTCGGTTGATCTCTTGCCGGCCCAAAAACCACCCATCCAAGTTCGGTGGCTGCGGCATATGGTCCCTGTGGTGCAAACCTTTTTGTTTGCATAGGCAGTCCAAGATGCGCATGATCAAGTCCAATCAGAAGTTTTGGTATCGCCCCGCGATACGGTTTCATTGGAAGACGTGCACCGTTGCCCCACATTTGGACGTCACGTTGATGCAGGCTTTGCATTGGTAAGCTGAGGTTGGACACGGCGTACACATTTCCATGCTTACCACTGTGGTCGGCTCTCTGGTTGCTCTTCCACCAAACCACTGTATATTTAGTTGCCTGCGTTCCCCTTTGATATCTAGATCGCGCAGTAGTTCGTCGTCGATCATCGTTACAGACGAGCCCTCGTCGAGGAGCGCGTAAGTATCGATCCGCTTATTGGCCCCGTGCAATGTCACTGGCAATATGCGGAATAGTAGGCGTTCTCCATCCGAATCGACACAACTTAAGTTCCTTTGTTGCGTCGATTGAGGATCCGCTGGCTGCGGTGCCCTTGTGTGAGGATCCGCTGGCTGCGGCATCCGTCCAGTATTCATCACTCTATCACCTGCTGGTTGCGGTGCATTGTGACTCATAGCATCATGATAATGTAAGAGTCGATGATGTCTCTTCCGGCATCCATTAACTTGGCATTCGTTGGCCCTATTGCAGACTCTTGCCATGTGGCCAACTCGTAAACACGAAAAACAAAGCCGGTGCCTTTTTACGACTGTCCACCTCTTTAGCGGAGAGGCTAAGTTAAACTCGTTGCAGTCCCTGACTGCGTGTTGTCCATTACAGATTGGACACTGTTTGGTGCGACCTCGGTGACGCCCTTCATTATTCTGGTCAATGCTGGCATGCAGCACTCTACGTCTTTGCTCCTTACTATCGACGTCCACAATCGTACATACCACATTGGCGTAGTCCGTTAACCACGCGCTAAAATGTACGACCGTCGGGAAAGGCCTAATCGTAGCTGCATGTCTGGCCCAATCCACCCTCTTGCTTGGTGGTAATTTAGCGACCAAATCCTCCATCAGTGTAGGATTCGCTAAATGCTGTTCCCCGTTAGCCGATTGTAGAAAGGCGGCAAGGTTACTTACGCGTGTGGCATATGGCACGATTTTAGCTATGCTGTGCTCCTGAATTGGCTGCACCTCTCGAATACTAATTAGCTGGCTGCGTATTAGCTGTTCTGGGCGGCCGTATCTAAAACGTAATTGTTCAATTACGTTGTTCACATTCCTGGGATGTATGTGCAACGACTTCACAGTGTCACGTGCTTCGCCTTTGAGTGCCTTCAACAATCGCTGGTTATTCTCCAGATTTGTACAGTTGTACGCCAAAGTTGTTTCCGTAAACGCGCAGAAGAATATAGGCCAATCCTCAGGTTGACCTCCAAACTCGGGTAGATCTGGTAATTTGCGTGGCAGGCATACATCGTTCCTGGGAGTCGTCCATGCGAAGTTCCCAGTTGCCTGCGTTGGCTCCAAAATTATCGTTTGTTGGTTCTCCTGTGCCGGAGTGTAGCTGAGCGTTGGCTGTGCAATGCCTGCAAAGCAATATGGCGTCGAGCGGCTTGACGTTGTAGAGCAGTTATCCATAACTGTAGCCCGTTCTACCGTTTGCAACTGTGTTCCCAAATTTCCACTCAATGACGTAGGCAGTGCCTCACTCAAAGATGGCGATCTGCTCAAAATGGTAGTTCCACTCAAACTTACTTTTGAATTTGGGACTACACTCATAGTTGCAGTTTCACTCAAACTTCCACTCGACGATGGCTCTCCGCTCTCCGCTCCGATCAAAGATGGCGGCAGGTTAGCTGTACCACTCATGCCAGCACTACTCAACTTAACGGGATCAGTAACTGTACTCACATGTGCTTGACCAGTTTTTGACCTCTGCAACTCGTGCTCTAGCACAGCGACTCTCTTTATCAAATCCATGACTTGCGTACTTGAGAGTTGCGTGCTTGGGCTTGGCGCTCCTGTCAATGTGCTGGCTCGTGCACTCACTCCCGCGGCCACAGTGCCGGCAGGTTGTACACTTGTGCCCGCATCCACGGTGCTGGGGCTTTGTGTTGCGCTAACAGCGGGAACTTGCATTTGTGATACAGTGCTCACCATTCTACTTGTCCGCTTTGTCTGCGTCCCACTCGCCGTGGTAGCTATCTCCTGGCCATCGTTTAAGCGTGGGCTTTTCCTAGGTGACCGTTGTGTCATCCTACTCAGCTCGGAGATGGTTTCTGCTATATTTTACGCTGGCTGCGTACTAATGGTGACTCTATAACTGGGTGGAGGCCCTGCCTGTGCTGTGTCTATGTACACACACTGTAACACCAATGTTACACCACGTCTTGTCTTCAGCGCAAGTCGCCCTTGCAGTTTCTTACAATAAGAACTGCGAATAAAAGATCATGTCGCGTGCCAAATGAAGGTGGAGTTGCAATTTGAACACTGCAAGTTTACTCCTGGCCCCCGGCCATGTTACTCCGATGTTACTAGAGACAGCGTAATGCAAAACGTGCTAGTGCAAGTGTTTTATTCTAAACGGATTACAAAGGTTAGAACTTAGATATATATTCCCTCGGAATCTTACCGCAGTCTTTCCTCCTACGGCCTTCGAACTCACGACAATAATGAGCTTAACATTTAAGTAATGGCGGCAACAAGCCAAATACAGTGTGCCCATACATTCGGAGGGCAAATATACATACTTTCAGAATATACTTAATACTAAACAATCGATAAATTAATTCGTCCCGCAACATGCATAATTAAACTACTAAATGCCGAGTTTGGTCAGGATATCTTGATAAGCAAATATGTTTTTTCATTCAACAGATTTATTTTCGACCGTCAGTTCCTCTGGTAGCTATTACAAATAGTGGACCGATCTTAATAAGATTTTGTATTAACATGTATAAGGAGTATTGTTAATCTAATAAATCAGGTGTATGGTTAAGATATCATGAAAAACAATCAAATATAACATACAACAATTTAACTTTCCACCGATCGATCCTATGGAAGCTTTATGATATAGTGTTCCGATCTAAATAGGATTTTACATTAATATGAAGTGAATAATTAAACTAATAAATGCCGAGTTTGGTCAAGATATCTTGGTAAACAAAAATGTTTTATACAAAAACTTAATTTCGAGCGATCGACTATGGTCAAGAAATCGTGAAAAACATTTCAATTTTCCATACAACCATTTAACTTTCGACAGATCAATCGTATGGATGCTTTATGATATAGTGCTCCGATCTTAATAGGATCTTAAATTTTAATGAAGAGCATAATTAAACTACTAAATACCGGGTTTGGTCAGATATCTTGATAAACAAAAATGTTGTTTTATTAATCGATCGTTTCTATGGCATCTTAATGATATAGAAGACCGATGTTAATAGGATTTTGTATTTATATGAGGAGCTTAGTAAAACTAATAAATGACGAGTATGATCAAGATATCGTGAAAAACAATCAAATATAACATACAACAATTTAACTTTCGACCGATCGATCCTATGAAAGCTTTATGTTATAAAGATTAATTGGATTTTATTTAGATATGAAGTGCAAAATTAAACTACTAAATGCCGATTTTGGTCAAGATATCTTGATAAGCAAATATGTTTTTTCATTCAACAGATTTATTTTCGAACGTCAGTTCCTCTGGTAGCTATTACAAATAGTGGACCGATCTTAATAAGATTTTGTATTAACATGTATAAGGAGTATAGTTAATCTAATAAATCAGGTGTATGGTTAAGATATCATGAAAAACAATCAAATATAACATACAACAATTTAACTTTCCACCGATCGATCCCATGGAAGCTTTATGATATAGTGTTCCGATCTAAATAGGATTTTACATATATTTGAAGTGAATAATTAAACTAATAAATGCCGAGTTTGGTCAAGATATCTTGGTAAACAAAAATGTTTTATACAACAACTTAATTTCGAGCGATCGTTCTTATGGCAGCTATTTCAAATAGTGGTCCGATGTAATAGTCTTTTGTAAATATATGAAGAACATAGTTAAACTAAAAATTGACGACTATGGTCAAGATATCGTGAAAAACAATCAAATATAACATACAACAATTTAACTTTCGACCGATCGATCCTATGGAAGCTTTATGTTATAAAGCTAAATTGGATTTTATATAAATATGAAGTGCATAATTAAACTACTAAATGCCGAGTTAGGTGAAGATATTTATATAAACAAATATATTTTTTTATTCAACAGATTAATTTTCGACCGTCAGTTCCTCTGGTAGCTATTTCAAATAGTGGTGCGGTCTTAATAGGATTTTGTATATATGGATAATAGGATTTTATATATATATGAGGAGCATAGTAAAATTAATAAAAGCCGAGTTTGGTCAAGATATCTTGATAAACAAAAATTTTTTTACAACAACTTAATTTAGAACGATCGTTCTTATGGCAGCTATTTTAAATAGTGGTCCGATCTTAATAGTATTTTGTATATATATGAAGAACATAGTAAAACTAAAAATTGACGACTATGGTCAAGATATCGTAAAAAACATTTCAATTTTCCATACAACCATTTAACTTTCGACAGATCAATCCTATGGATGCTTTATGACATAGTGCTCCGATCTTAACAGGGTCTTAAATTTATATGAAGAGCATAATTAAACTACTAAACGCCGGGTTTGGTCAAGATATCTTGTTAAACAAAAATGTTGTTTTATTAATCGATCGTTTCTATGGCATCTTAAAGATATAGAAGACCGATGTTAATAGGATTTTGTATTTATATGAGGAGCTTAGTAAAACAAATAAATGACGAGTATGATCGTGAAAAACAGTCAAATATAACATACAACAATTTAACTTTCGAACGATCGATCCTATGGAAGCTTTATGTTATAAAGCTAAATTGGATTTTATATAAATATGGTGCATAATTAAACTACTAAATGCCGAGTTTGGTCAAGATATCTTGATAAGCAAATATGTTTTTTCATTCAACAGATTAATTTTCGACCGTCAGTTCCTCTGGTAGCTATTACAAATAGTGGACCGATCTTAATAAGATTATGTATTAACATGTATAAGGAGTATAGTTAAACTAATAAATGAGGTGTATGGTTAAGATATCATGAAAAACAATCAAATATAACATACAACAATTTAACTTTCCACCGATCGATCCTATGGAAGCTTTATGATATAGTGTTCCGATCTAAATAGGATTTTACATAAATATGAAGTGAATAATTAAACTAATAAATGCCGAGTTTGGTCAAGATATCTTGGTAAACAAAAATGTTTTATACAACAACTTAATTTCGAGCGATCGTTCTTATGGCAGCTATTTAAAATAGTGGTCCGATGTAATAGTCTTTTGTAAATATATGAAGAACATAGTTAAACTAAAAATTGACGACTATGGTCAAGATATCGTGAAAAACATTTCAATTTTCCATACAACCATTTAACTTTCGACAGATCAATCCTATGGATGCTTTATGACATAGTGCTCCGATCTTAACAGGGTCTTAAATTTATATGAAGAGCATAACTAAACTACTAAACGCCGGGTTTGGTCAAGATATCTTGTTAAACAAAAATGTTGTTTTATTAATCGATCGTTTCTATGGCATCTTAAAGATATAGAAGACCGATGTTAATAGGATTTTGTATTTATATGAGGAGCTTAGTAAAACTAATAAATGACGAGTATGATCGTGAAAAACAGTCAAATATAACATACAACAATTTAACTTTCGAACGATCGATCCTATGGAAGCTTTATGTTATAAAGCTAAATTGGATTTTATATAAATATGGTGCATAATTAAACTACTAAATGCCGAGTTTGGTCAAGATATCTTGATAAGCAAATATGTTTTTTCATTCAACAGATTAATTTTCGACCGTCAGTTCCTCTGGTAGCTATTACAAATAGTGGACCGATCTTAATAAGATTATGTATTAACATGTATAAGGAGTATAGTTAAACTAATAAATGAGGTGTATGGTTAAGATATCATGAAAAACAATCAAATATAACATACAACAATTTAACTTTCCACCGATCGATCCTATGGAAGCTTTATGATATAGTGTTCCGATCTAAATAGGATTTTACATAAATATGAAGTGAATAATTAAACTAATAAATGCCGAGTTTGGTCAAGATATCTTGGTAAACAAAAATGTTTTATACAACAACTTAATTTCGAGCGATCGTTCTTATGGCAGCTATTTCAAATAGTGGTCCGATGTAATAGTCTTTTGTAAATATATGAAGAACATAGTTAAACTAAAAATTGACGACTATGGTCAAGATATCGTGAAAAACATTTCAATTTTCCATACAACCATTTAACTTTCGACAGATCAGTCGTATGGATGCTTTATGATATAGTGCTCCGATCTTAATAGGATCTTAAATTTATATGAAGAGCATAATTAAACTACTAAATGCCGGGTTTGGTCAAGATATCTTGATAAACAAAAATGTTGTTTTATTAATCGATCGTTTCTATGGCATCTTAATGATATAGAAGACCGATGTTAATAGGATTTTGTATTTATATGAGGAGCTTAGTAAAACTAATAAATGACGAGTATGATCGTGAAAAACAATCAAATATAACATACAACAATTTAACTTTCGACCGATCGATCCTATGGAAGCTTTATGTTATAAAGCTAAATTGGATTTTATATAGATATGAAGTGCATAATTAAACTACTAAATGCCGATTTTGGTCAAGATATCTTGATAAGCAAATATGTTTTTTCATTCAACAGATTTATTTTCGACCGTCAGTTCCTCTGGTAGCTATTACAAATAGTGGACCGATCTTAATAAGATTTTGTATTAACATGTATAAGGAGTATAGTTAATCTAATAAATCAGGTGTATGGTTAAGATATCATGAAAAACAATCAAATATAATATACAACAATTTAACTTTCCACCGATCGATCCTATGGAAGCTTTATGATATAGTGTTCCGATCTAAATAGGATTTTACATAAATATGAAGTGAATAATTAAACTAATAAATGCCGAGTTTGGTCAACATATCTTGGTAAACAAACATGTTTTATACAACAACTTAATTTCGAGCGATAATTCTTATGGCAGCTATTTCAAATAGTGGTCCGATGTAATAGTCTTTTGTAAATATATGAAGAACATAGTTAAACTAAAAATTGACGAATATGGTCAAGATATCGTGAAAAACAATTCAATTTTCCATACAACCATTTAACTTTCGACAGATCAATCCTATGGATGCTTTATGATATAGTGCTCCAATCTATATAGGATTTTACATTTTACATCCTATGGAAGCTTTATGATATAGTGTTCCGATCTAAATAGTATTTTACATAAACATGAAGTGAATAATTAATCTAATAAATGCCGAGTTTGGTCAAGATATCTTGGTAAACAAAAATATTTTATACAACAACTTAATTTCGAGCGATCGTTCTTATGGCAGCTATTTCAAATAGTGGTCCGATGTAATAGTCTTTTGTAAATATATGAAGAACATAGTTAAACTAAAAATTGACGAATATGGTCAAGATATCGTGAAAAACAATTCAATTTTCC